GGGGAAATTCGGGAATTTTGGGGGGAAATTCGGGAATTTGGGGGGGAAATTCGGGAATTTTGGGGATTCCTGAGGGGAATTTGGGGGGATTTTGGAGGATTTTGGGAATTTTGGGGGTCTCTGAGGGGGAATCGTGGAATTTTATGGGAATTTCGTGGAGATTTTTGGGGTCCTTGAGGGGAAAATCGGGGAATTTTGGGGGGAAATTTGGGAATTTTTGGGGATTCCTGAGGGGGAATTGGGAGAATTTAGGAGGGAATTTGGGATTCGGGGGGAATTTTGGGGGAATTTCGGGAATTTCGGGGAATTTTGGGGGGAATTCTTGGAGATTTGAGGGAATTTGGGGGTCTGAGGGGAACTTCTTGGGAATTTTTGGGGGTTTCGGGAGGAATTTGGGGGATTTTTGGGAATTTGGGGAATTTTGGGCAGAATTTTGAGGGAATTTTGGGGATTATTGGGAATTTTGGGGTTTTTTGGGAATTTTGGGAATTTTTTGGGAATTTTGGGGATTTTGGGGGATTTTTGGGGAATTTTGGGGGAATTTTTGGGATTTTTGGGCAGAATTTTGAGGGAATTTTGGGGATTTTGGGGAATTTGGGGGGATTTTTTGGGATTTTTTTGGAATTTTTGGGGAATTTTGGGCAGAATTTTGAGGGAATTTTGGGAATTTGGGGGATTTTGGGGAATTTTTTGTGAATTTTGGGAATTTTTTGGAATTTTGGGTGAATTTTTGGGAATTTTTGGGAATTTTTGGGAATTTTTGGGAATTTTTTTGGGGGAATTTCGGGCGGATTTCGGCTCCGCCCCTCCCCCCCCTCACCCCTCCCCCCTCTCTCTTCTCTCCCCAGGACCCCTCCCCCACCCATGGCCTCCCCCTGCCCCTCCCCCACCCTGGCTCGCCCCGATGACGTCACGGTGGGGGCGGGGCCGGCGCCGGAGGTGGCCCCGCCCCCCGCGGTGAAAGCCCCGCCCGCCCCGCCCCGCCCCCACCTGAGCGTGGCCGTGCTGTGCTTAATTAACCTCCTTAATTACATGGACAGGTTCACCGTGGCAGGTGGGGGAGGGGCCGGGGGAGGGGGGAGGGGCTCAGGTGTGTCCCAGGTGTGTCCAGGTGTGTCTGAGCATCCCCCAGGTGTGTCCAGGTGTGCCCGGG